CCTCAGCATGGCCAGAGAAGCAGCGCGTCGGTGCGAGCCCGGGATCCGAACCCGGGTCGCCAGCAGTGGAGCACGCTCACTTAACCACTAAGCCACGGGGCCGGCCCTAGATATAACATTTTAATGTACACGCATCTAAGAACAACAGCTTCTAAACACTGACAGAACTAAAGGGAAAAAATTTAAAATCTATGATCAAAGCAGAGATTTTTAACATCTTTCAGTAATTAAGCAGTCAAATCAGCAAGGACAAAAAAGATTTAAACAGAACATGTAATAAGCTTGATCTAAATAATGCAGAAATCATACACATTATTTTCAAGCACTCATGGAATATATTAGAAAAATATATAACAAAAATTGCCAACAAATTCAAAGATTCTAGAATCCTTCATTCCCTGATCTATAACCCAATTAAGCTACAAAATTTTAAAGTCATTTATTTGCAAATTTAAAAGGATACTTTTAAATAATTCATAACAGAAATTAGAAAACATAGAGAACTGACAATGAAAATAGTATATACCAGAACACATGGAATGCAAAAATAGAAACTCACAGGAAAGTTTATTAAAAGTGTTTACATAAGAAAGAAAAAAAGTCTGAAAATAAATGGCCTAAGTAACCCAATATAAGAAGTTAAAAAAAGAACAATAGAATCACCTAAAGTAGAATGAAGAAAATAATAAATATAATAGCACAAAATAATGAGGTAGGAAACAAAGACACATGGAGAGGACCGATAAAGCCAAAAGTTCCTTGAAAAGACCAATAATATTGACAAAATTTTGAAAAAGAAAAAATAAAATCAGAATCTGTGAGCATGGAGGCCTGGAGCCAAGTATTTTGTAGACTCATTCAGCTTTTTATTTTAGCACCAGAGTTGAGAACTACTGTTCTACCTTATCACCTTTCATTTTTCTTAGTAATTTTAGATCATGTAAGAATCGTAAACTCCCAAATTATTTCCATATAATTTATTCCACTCTTCCTTTAATAAATATTTATCGAGTTACTGGAGCTACCAAGATAGACACAATCCTTACTCTCACAGTGCTTAGAGTCTAGAAGAGAAAATATTAAGAAAAGAAAGCATAAACAAATTTCATCACTGTTCATGATAGGAAATTAAAGATACTATCTAAAAATAGAATGGATTAAGAATATTATAAAGGTAATATAAGATAAAAATACAACCTATCTAAATAATTAAATTATTATGATTGGGCCGGCCCCGTGGCTTAGCGGTTAGGCGCGCGCGCTCCGCTGCTGGCGGCCCGGGTTCGGATCCCAGGCGCACACCGCTTCTCCGGCCATGTTGGGGCCGCGTCCCACGTGCAGCAACTGGAAGGATGTGCAGCTATGACATACAGCTATCTACTGGGGCTTAGGGGGGAAAAAAATAAATAAATAAAATCTTAAAAAAAAAAAAAAATTATTATGATTGCTTTCATGCTACAACAGCAGAGTTGAGTAGCTGTGACAGAGAACTCATCATATGGCCTGCAAATCCTAAAATATTAACTTTCCGGCCCTTTAAGAAAAAGATTGCTGGCCCCACCCCTCCATTAACACAGCAAAGGAGAAATACATTCATCCCAAGAGAAGAAGAAAACATCTGATAAAATTCAGTACTTTCATGAAAATTATAGTAATAACTCTTGGTAAATTAGAACAGAGAAGTAGTTCTTTAACCTGATAAAGGGTACAAAACCTGCAACAAATATCATTTTAATAGTGAAATCTTACATCCATTCCCACTAAAGTCAAAAACAAGACAAGGATGGCTGCTATCCTCCCTATTCTTCAATATAATATCTGAGGTCCTAACCAGTACAGTAGGTCACGAAAAAGAGGATTGCAAAAAGAAGAGTCGCAACTGTCTTTCTTCAAAAATGATATAGTCCCCTAGAATATACAACACCAAGAATAAGCCCCAATGTAAACCACAGACTTTGAGTGATAATGATGTGTCAACGTAGGTCCATCATTCATAAGAAATGTACCACTCTTGTGAGGGATGCTAATAATGGAGGAGGCTATGCACGTGTCAGGGCAGAGAGTATATGGGATATTTCTGTACCTTCCTCTTAATTTTGCCATGAAGCTAAAATGCTCTAAAAAAAAGAAGTCTTTTTGAAAAAATGATATAGTTACCTACCTACCTAAGTAGAAATCTATAAACTAACCATTTAGTCTAATACAAGAGTAGAGAAAGATCACTGGGTTCAAAATTGACATACTAAAATCAACCCAACACCTAGAATGAAGAGCCAAGTGATGAGGCTGGCAAAAGGTGATTTCTGCATCCGTAGAAGGTAATGATGCTGGAGATCTGGGATGATGTTGGAAATAAGAGAGTGGGGCTTCCAGTGGTACCACTGCCACCCATGCAATTCTTCCTATGAAGAATAGGGGAGACTCAAGAAGTCACACTCATCAAACATCTCCCAGACTGTCCATATCCTTGAGTTTGTTACAGAGAATGGTAATTTACATGAGGTTATGTGTCAGAGCAATAACATTCACTAAGCAGTAAACCCAATTCTTTGCAAAATACCCAATTTCTACTTCAAATATCTACCTTAGGCAGACTCTCACATGTCCGTGTGAGTGCACCCCAGGCACTTCTTAGTATCAGAAGTTATTGTTTATTTGGTTTCCTATTTTGCCTGTTTCCCCTTACTAAAATGTAAGCATTATGAGAGAAGTCAGGGGCTGTGTTTTCCTCTTCCCTAAAACCCTAGCACCTAGACTAGTGCCTGGAACATAACAGATTCTCAATAAATATGTTAAAAATTTAATAGAAAAGATGACCCCTATGCTGGTCTTGAAGGGCAGGCAGGAGCCACAAGTCAGATGGAGGTGGAGCAGCCGCATAAGCAAAGGCACAGAGACATGAAAAACCTCATCTGGGGGAAGCCAACTCTGCATTGCCGGGAAACAACATGCAAGGCGTGGGACGGAAACTGGGAACTTGTGAACTGAGGACAAAGAGGCCAGAAGGGCCTTGTTGGGCATGCTTAGAAGGTTGGGCTTTGTCAGCCAAGTGATGAGGCGCAATCGAAGGGACTTAAGAAGGAGGTAACACAGATTTATGTAGTTCAATCTGGCAGCTTCATAGGTCAGATCTGAGCAAGTCAAGACCAGAAGAAGGGATCAGAAAATGATTGTTTTAGTTCAGAAAAGAAACAATGATAAAAATACTCATAATAAACACAGTTTACCATATTAACACCTACCATCTGTGTCAATCACTGCACCAAGCGCTTTACTCACAGGATCTCATTTAATCTTCATGATAATTCTAGGAAGTAGTACTATTCCCGTTTTACAGATGAGGAAACTGCAGCACAGAGAGATTAAGTAACTTGCCTAAGGTCATAAAGCCAGTAAGTGAATGAGGCAAGACTCAAACCCAAGCAGTCTGACCACAGAAAATGGCTTCAGAGCCATTAAGGGATGAGGAACAGACAGATTCAAGACTCACTTATGAAGTAAAACTCAGCTGCACTCTGTGATTTCTTTGGAGGTGGAGGTGAGGTGGAGGGAAGAGACTCCAAGGTGTCTGGCTTGGATGACTAGCAATTAGAGACTCAGAACTACAGAAGTCCTGAAAGACCACCCAGACTGACTGACCACCCAATGCCAACAATTTCTTCTCTGCCATCTCTAACAGTTACCTCGGCTCTGCTCAACAGGACAACACAGACCTGGGTGGAGTCAAACTCTGCCTCCCATTACTAAGACTCTAAAGATTTAAAATAGCTTGACAGTTGAAGGGTCTTCCGAGACTTTATCCACTGACTTTCACTCTGTGATATGCAGAATTCCAGAATTCTACAAGTACCTCGGGCGCTATCTCAGGTTGGGCTCCCGCCTGCCCCTCTGTCTTCAACTAAGCAGTACCAATTTTATAACACTCATATGTTGAGCATCCTTGTAAAATCTCGTTTGGAAAAAAAATGCAATGCTTTTAAAATGTTTCACAATCACAGGTACAGACCAATAACCTTATTTTGTGGCAAAGGAATTTGAGGTGCACCAAGTATAAGTGTTTTGGTGAAGGTCACATACACAAGTAATCACAGAGCAAAACAATCCTTCAAACACTGGGAACAGCCCCATTCCTCAAGGTTATCTTTTTCTTTGTTCAAGTTTTATATAAGTATACAATTTTTTTTTTTTGGTGACGAAGATTAGCCCTGAGCTAACATCTGACACTGACCTTCCTCCTTTTTTTTTTTTTTTTGCCGAGGAAGATTGGCCCTGAGCTAACAACCGTGCCCATCTTCCTCTACTTCATATGGGATGCCACCACAGCACGGCATGACAAGCAGTGCATTGGTGCGCGGGATCCAAACCCGCAAACCCCAGGGCCACCGAAGTGGAGCGCGCGCACTTAACCGCTTGCACCGCTGGGCCAGCCCCAGTATATAATTTTTTTAACAGAAGATTTAAAATTGTATAGTAAAGTAATATACCAAAGTACACATTCATGCTTTTAATTTTTCCTATAGCTCTAAGCATTATCCTAACACTTAGCTCTCTCTACCTTAGAATCTGTATCTAGTGTAAGGTAATTTATATAACATATTAATTATTTATCACCACCAGCAAGCTCATGGTAACAACAGAGTTACAGCAAGACGTCTAAATTGATTGGCATGCCTTAAGCTCACAGATATTCTAGGTAACATTTCTGCCTTATTATTCATGACCTGGCTTAAGAAAGCAATTCAAGTCAATTCAATTAAAATATTCTCTGGCTTGGGGTCCTCCAACTCCCTGATTCTTTAACTCCCATTCTTCCCTTTCTAAAGCTTGTATCATAAAACTTCTAACTGATTAAAGCTGTGACTTGATCAGAAAAAAAAAAGGCCTTCCCACGCGTGAAAACAAGGACTCCAGAAGCACTCAAGACTCACGCATTTCTATGAACAGCTGCCTCTTCTCGGCCATGGTCTTCCGCTTGTTCCCGCTTTCCTCAATCATCCTAGAGACAAAGAAAGATACAATAAACCACAATCCAACCAAGTGCTTATCAGTCTAATATGAGGAGGTACAGGAAACCAAATTGTATGTGCACATATTAAGAGAATACCTGTAAAAATAAAGGGGAAGCCTGGTAAAGAAAAAGACAAACCATTGTCCCTTTATTTGATAGCTTCTAAAATATTAGAAAGTCAACACTTCAATGAGCTCATACACTTGCTTTCCGTGCTCAAAATACGGGGCTACGTCTTATATCTAACTACGATTATTTTCTCTGCAGAATCCTGGATTAGTTGAAACACAGTTTCCCATATCCCTACTGCTTCACATAGATAAACATGTTACTAAATATAATTTAGAAAATAATTATAATGAAAGGTTACAATAAAGAACAGAAGAACAGTTAGCTTACACTAAAAGAGAGAAATAAAATCTTCTATTTTTATATTAAACACTATTAAACAAAAAAGATATTCATCCCCAAACTCAAAGAACTCCTAAATGTAACTTTTTTATCACATGGTAGTTTACACTGACAGACTTAGGCTACACCAGTCACTTTGTTAAAGCTCTTTCCACATATTATCTCATTTAATCCTCCCAACAACCCTAGGTGCTGGTTATTTTATCCCCATTTTACAGATTAAGAAACAGATGCCTTGAAAAGAGCACTAACTGGCTCAAAGGTATACAACTCGGAAGCGGTGGAGTGGAACCTCAACCCGTTAACTTAACTTCTTACATAAAACTTCTTACGTAATTGTTGCTTTGAGATGCATATTTTCAAATCTCCATGCCTAAAAAGCTAAGAAGACTTATAGCCCATTGCAGGGACCCTATTGATGCAAAATTTGTGACAATTTCAGCTGAACTTTGCCTTACTCCATGAAGAAAAAACATTTACAATTAGCATAAACCAAATAATTTCCATGAGCAGATTAAACTGTTGTAAATCGTGGAGTGATTTACATAACGTATTCTCAAATATGTTAGAATCACAAATTAAATGATGACTACACAAATTACACATCCATTAAAGCAAGGTGCCTGCCGAAAGTTTAGTGGCAAACATATCCTAAAGAAAATTTAAAACGTGAATATATTCCTTAACATTCTGCAATTAATATTTTGATAATTAAAACTGGCCCTTTCCTAGATCATTGAAATGTTACCAAACAGGCTTCAACACGCATGATGGTTACTTAGCAATTTGCCCCCAAGAGGAAAGAATTTTAAACAAAAAGAAAGTAAGCCAAAGAAAAAGCAACCCAAAATAGCAAAAATCTAATGAAATCTAGGTCCTAGAGGAAAGACAGGAGTTGCTACCAGTAGCCTGTAATTAGAAAGAAAAAAAGATATTCAAAAGTTGGCTCCCTCCTCCCAAACTTGGTCTCTAAGTAACACAAATTTTAAATGCTAAACTCAGATTAAAACAGAGAATATCATAATGTCCTTTATAATATATCTCATTTATTATATTCTTTTTCTACACTTGCTATTTCCTTACACTACATTTTCTCAAAGTTGGATCTAAGAATTCCTGGAGATCCCTAAGTTCCTCATGACAATTTTCTAAATTTTGTTTTTATTTCCAGATTAATCTTGAAAAAAATTAATATAAACATATTCTGGATCATCTGGATGACCACCAAACTACAAGTACTGCCATGCCATTTCAGGGCCCACATCTGCACGTGTGATTTAGTGCGGCACTGGGAACAAGAGATCACCCAAAGCAGGGGACAGCAAACCAGAGAAATTATACCACCCTGGGCCAGATCTGCCCTGCCACCTGTTTTTGTAAATAAAGTTTTACTGGAACACAGCCACATCCATTCATTTATGTATTGTCTATGGATGTTCTCGCGCTACAATGGCAGAGTTGAGTAGTTGCAACAGAGAGCATCTGGCATGCAAAGTCTAAAATATTTACTATCTGGTCCTTTAGGAAAAAGTATGCCAACCCAACCTAAAGCAATAGTAATTAACACTGCATTATTACATATGTCTGGTTGCAAACAGGTTAGAATGTTCCCACTGTCAAAATGACAAGGATCATCCCACGTGGGTTTGAGTTTCAGTTGCATTACTGGAAGTCTATCCTCGGGCAAGTGCTTTAATCACTCTAAGATTCACTCCTCACTGCTGAAATGGCATAAAAATTATATACTTCACTACCATTCATTTGACATATATTTATTGAGCAGCTCTTATGTGGCAGGCACAATTAGATGTACTGGAAATACTGCAGTGAATAAGAGACAATGGCCCCACCTTTATGTAGCTTAAATTCTTGTGAGAGGATTAAATGCAGTAACTCATTCAGACAGGGCCTGGCGGAAGGTAAGCACAGGACTAATGGTAGCTGCTATTCTTATTACTACAATTATTATTATTTATTACTACTCCTACACAGGTAGTTTATAAATCTAGTAGGCAGAATCTCATTTGCAATTAATGATACTACGATAGATGTTATTTAATTTAATGTATTTTCTTTTAAGAAAGTCCTTGGACTTTTTGAAACTAATAAAGCACAAAGCAAACACTTTAGAAATTTAATGATCTAAACCTAAAAAATAATAGTATCTTTAAATCACACAGACAATTATTACAAACATGAGTCAAACAACACATAAAAACATACATCAGAACAATGTGAGATATCATGAAACGGTCATCACATTGATAAGCCAATAATGCACAAACAGACTTTTTAAGAAATCTGTTTTTATAAACTGGGTTTTGATTTTGTGTTATTGTTGCTAAAACTACCTGGTCTTAAAAAGAACTTACAGTGGAGTTGTACTATACTCGCATTTAACTAATATAAATTCAACTACATGCGAGAGAGAGAATTATTTAAATAGACGGGCAATTCCATACCAGGATCACCTGTCTGTCCAGAAGCGTGTGAGGAAGAAAGTGAATGTGCAGTTCCCTGCTCAGTCTCGGTTCCCTCTGGCCTCTGACAGAGTAAGCATCCCTTTTCTTCTCTTTTTTCAAAACATATACCCTACACACAAGCTATCTGCTCACCTGGTGTTCAACTAAAGACAAAGTAACCAGCTCCAACATGAAGAAAAAACTGGCCATGCTAGACTTCCTGAGAGAACTCTGTGTTGGTCTCCATCACAGTATCGCTCCTGAGGAAATTTCAAAAGGAACTTTTATCTACATTAGATTTCCCCTGTACTCACTGATTTCAGAAATGAACTCCCAAGATTTGACTTCAGTGTATGAAAGAATTGAGATATGCACAACCACAAGGATTTGATACTAACACTTCAGAAGTTTCCAATGTTTCGATTGCTTTATGAAATTACATTCATGTAACCATTTTCTTTCTTTCTTTTTTTTTTTTTTTTTTTTTTTGCCGAGGAAGATTGGCCCTGGGCTAACATCTATGCCCATCTCCCTCTACTTTATATGTGGAACGCCTGCCACAGCATGGCTTGATGAGCGGTGTGTAGGTCCGTGCCCAGGATCCAAAATCGCGAACCCCAGGCCACCAAAGCAGATCACGCAAACTTAACCACTATACCACCAGGCTGGCCCCCGTAACCATTTTCTTAAAAGTTTGTAAAATTGTTCATAGATAGGAAGATTCTCAAAATTCAGAGCTATAGCATAAGGCTAACTATAATTAGTTCTTTTAAAAAAAAAAATTATGAAATCCAAACAACATGCTAACCAGTTTATGATGTATCAACAAAACTAAAATAAATTGTATTTATACTGCAGTAACAATTATTCAACCATCATATATGTATAGGCATAAAGATTACAAGTAAATCTGAAAATGAAAATACATTTATAAGATGTGGTTGTTTCCCTCGAGTTTTAATTTGTCACTGTGTTGCTTGGCAATTTTTAAAAAGTTGAATACATTTGAAGTTTGTACTTAAAAGAGTTTTACAATGTTTAAATATGTTTCCTTGGAGGCAATGGGGACACAGACACTGTCATAAACTGTTAGTGAATGTATACTGACAAGTATTTTGGAGGGCAACTTGGCATTATTTACCAAAATTTTAAATGCATACTACCTTTGGCCCAGTAAATATGTTTACTTATTTGCTAAAAAAGGAAAAGAAAAGGGAAGGGAGGAGAGAGAAGGGGAAAAGAAGGAAGGGAAGAAGGAGAAATCCAATATGCAACCGCCAAATAATTTATGGTGCAGCCATACAATGAAATAGGACATTCACAGGTACTAAAGAGGAGGCAGGTATGCCCGACTCAGGAAAAGATATTCAAGACATGAAACTCAAAAGGCAAGTAAGGAAAACAGTATTGTAGCACAGCAGATGCTATTCGTGCCCTGCCCAGATACCTTAGCTGGCCTGATCTTCACAGATCCCCCAGCTGCTGTAGTGCTGGCTGCTAACTTCTCACAGATGTACTCTTCTCTGGAAAATGGCCTTCAGCGGATTGAATACTCCCTACAGAGAAATGCCTGGGAAGTAACTCACCCCCTATAGGGGCCGAAGGGCAGCTACAGCTGATGAATGACTGATACAAGGTATAAAAGCCCAGCCCGGGAAGTTCTAGATCCTGGTAAGATGGAGTGAGCACATACCAACCTTACTCTCCCATCGAATGCAACTATAAACCTGCACAGAATGTATGCTGGACATATTTGAGGTCTGTGAAAAGTAAATATCAGCAGGTGGATTGGGAAAGAATAGAGAATTCAAAGTACCACTGAACAGGTGGTGAGTCTACATTTTTTTCCCTCTTGTATCTCCTGGCTTGAATTCAAACACAGCATGAACCCCTGAACCTACTGCTGTGGTACACACACACAGAAATCCAGGAGAAACCCTCTAGTTCTGGCTTGAAGAGGAGAAAGAAGACCAAAGGCCAGAGACAGTGGGGGAAATTTCCCAGGTCTTTTTCTTCATTTTCTCCCACCCCAGCCAAGAGGCAATCCTGTGGTGGAGGCAGTGGCAGCAAAAGCAGCTGGCCTGGGAAACAAGAGTCAAAAACGTGAAGAAAAGG